CGGGAATGCTGATAATGTCTCTTCTGATGGAAATGCATTAGTTACACTGGTGAAATCTGCAACATAACAATTTCTGGGTGTGTCGCACCGAATTGATTCGCAACGTTGTGGTGCATCCCGAAAAGAAGAAGGGGGCCATTGAGGGGAAAACAATGTAGGTGACGTTTCACTCGAGCAACCACATTCATTCAAAGGGTCGTTGGTTATTGGCGCATGATTTCCTTCCCCCAGAACAACTTAATTTGGCATTTGCGCCAAAGCTGGGTGAAGAAAGATAAGAAGGGGAGAAGTTTTGTTGTTTGTGTGCTCCTGTCTTCTTCTGAAACAAGTGAAAGTGATGCGGATGCCAACAATCCGAGGATTCCGACACAAGTGTCATTCTCTTCGATTGACTGACTTGCCACCAGCAGCGAAACTCCATGCGAAACTTTCATTCTCATCGAATGAACTGAGGAGAGAGAAAGATTCCCCTTCAAAGAAATATTTTTAAGGACGGAGAAAATTCCTGGGAAAAGCAACGCCAAGTTGACCACTCGAAAACATGCAATATTTGAATCAGGCTGCATTTTCCTGAGAAAAAAGTCTTTCATTTTGGGTTATATTAATAAAATTTCATCCAAAGCTGGCTACTTTTTGGCCAAACTTTGATATCGTACAATACACCCAAGTTCGTCAAACTCCTCGGTCCGACTTCATTTCTATTTATGGCATACGTCGTACGTACGTAGCTCTTATTTTGATTTTGTCATCCTTTCATCATTCAAGGAGCCCGAAGAGTACGTACGACGAGTGGCAGCCGTGGTTGAGCCTTTTCTGCTTGGTTTTTAGATTCAAGTGTCTCCTCACCGTTTTCTAAAATGAGTGGGTGAGCAGAGGCATGAAGTGGAAAGCCTGACGCGATTGAGTCTCATGCACACAGTTTTCTCTGACTTTTCCCAATTCAATGTTTCCTTGTGTTCGAGAGAGAAAATGCGATTCCTTCGCACTCGCCCTTGTCGCACGTCCGCTTTCCTTGCATCTGAACGAAATGTGATTTTTCTCTCAAATTGCTCGAGTGAGTGAGACCCTCGCGTTTTCCAACCTCACTCAACCCGCTTCCTGGAAATGATACGCCGCACACGACGACAATGTTGGAATTGACATTGAGACAGCCACGGCTCGACAAACTGCATGTTCCATTCTTTATTACACACTGGGCCATAAACCGTTCAGATTTTAAACTCGAGTTTAAAACTCCATTGACTTCATTGTTCGCGATTTGTATTTTACACGTGAAACTGCAGAAGGGGTAATTTAGGGAAAGTGCAAATGATGGTCATTTTCCAGAGTCGTAGCGTAAACGCACTTGTTCAACCTTACGCAACAACAGCAACCATGCAGCAAACGAGGAATTTTGATTCATCTCGACAAGAGAGGAGTTTGGAGAGGGGAGGAAGATGACGAAGTGAAGGAAAACATGGGACACTGACGCAACCGAGTAACATTCTCCACAGACACACAACGTTGTTAATTAAACTAAGTACTTAGACTAGATGGAGAGATTAGAGTGGTACAAACGAAGCAGGACGGATATGAGCGTACATTTAGATACGCCAATATTACGTATAAATTCGTAGCAAAACATGACATCCGCACCCTTACTTCTCAAGAGGAGGGAAAACAATAGGCCTTCCTCCGTCCGTCGGAGACGAGAATGTGCCTGCCTGCTTGAGTGACAGTGGTTATTTCATTAGACGCACTCAAGGTGTCTAGTTTTCAGTCGAGAAATTTCAATGAAATGCAATATTCACAGAAATATTCCTCCTCCAGAGACGAATGGGCATTTACTTATTTGCTGCACTTTCTAGAAATTGTTTCCAGAAATCCTCCCCAATTTTGGAACAAATATTGCGTCTGATCTTGTGAATGGCAGCACGTCATTTTCGTCTTTTGGAGATGACATGTTGTAACAACATAATAAGAATGAAGGGCAACAGTCTCACCCACCACGACCACCACCATCTCATAACTTTGTGTGAAGGGAGATGAGAAAAAAGCATGAAAGTGACACGACCTCAAAGACTTGAACTGCAACCCGATGCCAAACCAATCCAATAAAAAAAACTCGGATGCTGCATTTTCACTTTTCTGGATATTATTTGTCCGTGGTGGTGAAGTGGACTGGGTAAGACGGAGACAATAAATAAATGTATTTGTTTAAGACCTCCTCGGTGCGAGAGAGAGAAGGAGACCGACTTTCTCCTCAAGGTCTCGGAGGGAAAGTGTAATCCGCATTTCGTTTCATCTTCATTCGTCGTCGTTTTGGCGCAGTTGTTGTTTGTGGTGTGGATGCAGTTTATTTTTTAGACCTTCTCCAGACGAAGATCACCACGGCTCTGGCCATGATTAGATTGAGTGGTGTGGGTCCTTCGCCCTAAGCAACAAAGTCCAAATTGCTAACTGATGATCACAAAATATCTGAACGTTGCCCCACTTCATCCTGAACACTCTTGTGTCCAGAATTTTTTTTACAACATGTAAGAAAAGGGAGCGGAATAAAAAATGAAGTCGGGAGAGAGAAAGATGGTCGGAACAAAATGAAAAAGAAGGCGAAGCGAGTGGTGGTGGTGGTGGGAGACAAAGGCCATTTATTACCCTGGTCCACTGTCCACCGTCCTAACTACGAACCGTATCTGCGACTCCTTTCTTCACTTCGATTACTTTCCCCTTTTCCTGTCACACTTTTCCAAACCATCTGACCTACCTTTTACTACGCGGCCTCACATCAATTCCCTCCTCACCCGCACCTAATCGATGCCAAGTACCCAGAGACCAAATGGTTACTTCAGCCACCACTTCACCTCGCTGGTGGTTAAAACAGTTGCTTCTAATGCATACATTTTTAAATTAAATTAATTGAAGCACGGGACGAACAGCTCTTTTAACCTGTTTTGTTCCAGTTCATCCATTATTCCACGCCGCTCGTTGTCCTTGTTTGTAATGTGTCGCGTAAATTGTTACGAGTTGACAGTCAGGTCAACCCAAACCTCATGTCAACTGCCAGAGACTCATTATTGCCACGTCTTTGAAACGACTGTCAAGATGTTGGCTTTAATGTTTATTTCAGGGTAGAGGCTAAAACTTGGAGTAGTGCAGATTACGTATGTTGTTTACATGTGTGTGTGTGTGTGTGAAGTAAATAACAGGAATTAATGGATGCATGAGGCATATTTGCATAAAAACTTAGAGTTGAACTGGATCGGGGGTAGAGAAGTTTTAGGCTACCATGCAATTAGTGAATATGGGACAAAATGCGTGAGAATGTGTGCCACAATGAGACCAAACATTTGTCTTGTCATTATCCGTCGCGTGCAGTACATTGAAGCAACACTGCCGACCTGCAATGTTCGAATTTCTTGGCTCTTCCTCATATACGCATACATAACCGTTCCCCATGCCGTCTCCCCAATAACATGAATCTTGACAATGGAACGACATTGATTAAACTTGCGAAAATGTGTGTATGCAGAGCTCCAAATAACATACATAAAACACAGAGTAGCATTATGAGCTTTATGCTATGCGAAGAGTTTGCACAACACATTTTCCCTAATTCCAGACCCGTAAGTATATAGAGGATACGTGCGTAGCTTGAGCTTTTCGGGAGGGACAAATGGCAAATGTGTTGGTGAATCATATTACTAGACGAGTTGACAATAAGTTGTCCCCACATTTAAACTCACTCTCTCTCTCGGTTCGAATGTTAAAAGCCGAGGTTGACGTGAGCTGGTGTCAACTGTAAAGTCAGGAATTCTGCAAAAACTCAATTAATGGAAGCCAAATGACGCCCATGAGATTTGTTGGATCAAAACGTTAAGCTCGTGCGTGTGCCATTTTACGGGAATTTGGGTGGCGACGAGCAAATAAGTAAGTAAGATGCGGATCGGAGAGTATCAACTTCCTCGAGTCCTAGATCTCGCAACTCTTTGCTCCTTGTGACTTGAGTCCATCCCAAATCGGTTAACTGCTCTTTCGAACTTCGTTGATAACCTTATTTTGCCTAACTCTTAATCCTTGGTGGCACGTGGAAAAGCCTAAAGTTTTCCACCACACATACAAACAAACAATATGGCAAATCACGTAACAGCCCCAATTCGCCACCACCAGCTTATGCAATTAGTGGTTTATTGGCGAAATGATTCAATCCTCAAAACTTTTCCCACTCAATCGAGTAGAAAACTATGTAAGTATTTAATCAATTTTGCTTTCTGTGGCGAAAGTGAATGCGATTTTAATTAAATGGTACCGAATTAACTTCTTAGCCTCATGTGGCTACCCGACTTGTGCTACTCACACATTTCTAAATACATAGGAGTGAAATGTGGGTAATGTTCATAATTAGATCAAATTGAATGGCAACCTTATCAACACGTCATCCATAGTTAAGCAGTCACCTTCTAGAAAATATGGTTTAAATTATGTTTATTCCTGTTATTACGTGTTTATCAACACGCAGGTATTCTCATTTCACAACTAATCCTTGTCAATATCGAGCCGAGTGTTTCATTCACTGTGAGTAAACAGATTTTCCACGAAACGCACGTTCTTATCCGTCCCATTACGCAATACGAGCACTAAATCTCTGTCCTCAGAATGAGCAAGTGTAACACTCTTCCTTGGCCCTCTCACGAGGAGATGGGAGCAAAAAATGCGTGCACGTATTTTTAGCAAGCTGTTACACATAAGCAAGATACGCATCAATCTTTTAATCGGTTCACAAATTATGTTAATCTGGGTAGAGATTAAATTTGGCACTATAAAAATTCATGAAATTATATTGAAACAATTTGATAAAATGTCCATATTTTTGAGTCCTCCCAAATATTAGCACAAATTTTCCCCTGTCACTTGCCCACTTGAGAGGGCGAGAAAGTTTTAGTGGGTTAGCGATATGTGTCATTGTGTTTTTGTTTCTGTCTCCTCACTCCGAGAGACGGCGGACTAATAGACTACACGCTTTTTTCCCAGATTTCATATGCACGCATGAGGACGAGGCATTGGTTGAACTTGTTAGTTTGCAATTATTTACTACGGGGTCGTCTATATAATCCACACCAGCTCTCAGCGTCACATTCACTTCGTTTTGATCAGTCGGTCAGTCAGTCGTTGAGTGAGGAGTGGGAGAATTTTTCAAAATGACGCTGCCCTCGATATTAAGGCAGCCGAGTACGAAAGTGAAGAATCCGAATAAGAAGTCAGAAGTGAGTTTGCTGCTGGACCCCACGAGTGACACGTTTTTGCCCCTTCGTGACATCAGCATCGACCAAGAGTTCGAAGTCATCAAGAACCTTCACGAGGGCTTTTTCTCCAAAGTGCGTCTCGTTCGGAGGGTGGGTTCCCAGTCCAGCGAGAAGGAGCGCCTCGTCCTCAAAGTTATTCCTCACCAGTCCGTGGAGGACTTTTACCGCGAGTTGAACTACAACTACTTCTTAAGTCCGCATCCCTCCGTGGTCAAATGTGGGTAACAGATATTACCAAAGTTATCCCTAAATTTACCAGTATCTTATCTTTCCCCCGTGTTTAACAGGCTTCAACGTGACGATCGTGTGGGAGGACTCGCTGGTGTTCCCGATGGAATATGCTCCTTGTGGGTCGCTGAGTCGCTTCATTAGTCCAGATTCGCTCCTCAGCGAAGCCACAGTCAAGCTGGTTGCGAAACAACTCGCCTCCGCTCTCGACTTTATTCACTCACTTAAACTCGTGCATCGTGACATTTCCCCAGAAAATGTTCTCGTCTTTCAGCAAGATCTGAGCAAAATCAAACTTTGCGACTTTGGGGTAAAGACAATTTACTCTTGGCATATTTATGTAGGTTAGCAGCACTGCAAATGACACGCAGTTTATGAGATATGTACATATACCCGGAGATTCCAATATTACAACCTTGTTTAAAATTGATAAAATGCTGGCAAAAAAAAACACGACGGAATTCAATTTGCAAACTGACTGGTTTTATTATAATACGCGTGACACATTAGTTTGTGTTTTTTATGTACCAGTCTCCATATTTTCTATCAAGTGTCATTTGTGCCGATTTTCAGGGTTGGCCAAATTGCTAATTTACGATTACCACCTGCAAAATTATAATGGTAATTGAGAATAGTTTACAGACGGAGGAATAATGTGTCATTGATAGAATTAATTTGACCAACCCTGAAAAATAGAGAGATTTCTTATATGTATCCTCTCAATTTCAATTTCGTATACATTCAGTACGTGAGAGTATTAGCCGAGCGTGCAAGCCTTTCATAGCAATTTTACATTATGACATGGTTGACTTTTTAGGCCACCCGACCCGAAAAGAGTCTCGTAGTTTGCGTCAAGCAAGAATCATCCAAAGAACTGTTCCAACTTTCCCCAGAAATCTGCCACTTGGTTAACGGAGAGAGTTACTACGTGCATCGCTCCTCTGACGTATGGCAGCTGGGGATCCTGATCTACCTGCTCCTTTCCGGAGGTGTGGAACCCTGGCAAAGCGCCGACGATATTTCCGACCCTGTTTTCTCAGAGTGGGCCAACTGGCTGCGAAGGAAGAATCTCAGAGTTCCCGAACCTTTTCAACACTTCAGCCCACGACTCCTCCGCCTTTTCAAACGCCTATTCGAACCCAAACCGAAGAAGAGATGTGACGCCAAAGAGTTTTTCAAGTACTTGGAGGACGACTGGATCGTGGTCAAGTTGGTCAGAGGAGGCTCCTTTCGTCGCAGCGTGTTGGAAAGGAAGGCGTCCAGCTCCACGAATCGGTCCCGTTCCTCGGGCACTGGACGAAGCAGGAACAGCTCTCTCAAGAGAAAGTCCCTTCGCAATTCAACAAAGTCCAACTCCCTCAGCCAGGTCAATGCCAACGTGGTGAAGGAGGGCAGCCTGGACCCGGCGGAGAGTGGGTCTGGCGTGCGGGACAAGTTGAGCGAGGTGGACCGAGACTTCGTCAAGGAACGAGTTGGGCAGTGGATCCTCGAGGCCTCCATGTCCGTCGCTCCCTCGAGCACAAATATGCTCAGAGTGCCCTCCGTCTAACCTCCAGAGGAATGGAGTACTGTTAGCAAAAGACTGATTGCAATTTCAAAAAGAGAAAGAAGTACATATCTCAAAATAACCATGTTACATAGGAATAATGTAACGATGACGTGGTATTATGTATACAGAAGTAATAAATGGCATGAGTGAGCATGGAATACGAGAGTAGAGGATGATGTAACGCCAATCTGTATGTACATATGTGTCTTATGCAACACGCATTACGCCTCATTGGTAAAAATATCAAGACTCAAAGATATTGAATAAAATGTGTACAGCATATTCTCAGCGAGTCCATTTTCCCAAAAAGTTTTCCCATCTTGCAAAGTTGAGGTTTTTCCGATTTCACAACTTTCTCCTCTTTGATGGCACATTTTCCAGATTATTTCTGGTCCTACATTCTGTATACACGTACGTCCGTATACGTAGAATGGGGACGATAAACCCTCGCCTGGTCAGTCGCCTTCACCTTCATGCGACGGGTCAACGGAGTCGTATTAAAGGTTACCCTTGGGACTCCAATGACAATAATATCCATTTCTGAGTTATTCAGAAACTTTCCCCGTATAAAATAAATGAAAAATATGCAGAAAGGAGCCCCACGCTTTGCTTATGCCCCGTTTTGACATTATAATCCCGTTTTAGTTACGCGCTTGCATTTCCTTCTGCTGAAAAATACATTAGTGCATCTCGTTCATTTGGTTGTTGCGACGTAAAGTTAATTTAAAATGGAACATTAGACTTCAACTCCAACTCGTCTCTCTGAATGTTTAATGAAGAAATGAAATGACATGAGCAACATTCACTGCCTGCTTTTATGGAATGTGAGTCCGTTTCGAGAGAGCGAAGGACACACGTTCTTCGCTCAAACTGTTTCTGGTCGAGTGCTTGCTTTCTTCTTACGTTTAGCGTTTGGAAGTGAGGACCTCGTCGTCCTCTCAGCTTGGAGATTTCTTTCCCAGCAGTCACAGGAATGACTGACATGACGTCTTCGTTAGTTGGAAGCGAGCGCCCAGCAACTCCTCGTCCATGAGGGTGGGTAGCGTGCAGAAATGACAGGTCAGTGTCTGGCAGGCAGTGAGAGAGATGCAGAGGGGAAGAAATTAGGTTTGTCAGAATAAAAATAAAGAGCAGGAGCAACAACAACTCGCCATTACGCTTTCGCTTCGGCCAAGAAACATAATTCTGAATTGTCATTCCATTTGTTTGATGGGAGTAATCTTCTCCAAGTGTAATTTTATTTTATTAGACTTGGTTGGTGTGCACAACTTTCCATCATCTCTCCAACCAGATCAACTTGATGAAATAAGCTTGGTCAAAGTCACTCACTCTCCGCTCTCTCTCTCGTCCTTGTTCTCGAGGAATATGGAATGACATTGTCCTTCACAAAATCTTCAACAGAACAAAGTGTACATTAGTTGCCCTTTCTCTCATATTTCATTCCTATGTAGGAAGCGTACATCTGCAAAAAAAATCGTTTTCATGTTCATGACGTGATGAAAACGAAACGATACAAATCTTTAATTAGATTTTGTACTTGGAGAAAAGAGAGAGAGAGAATAAACTGGTTGTGCATTGTACAGCGTGTTTACGAGTTCTTGTTACAAGTGAACTTGTTGAGTGATTGATGAACGATGTCTCAAACCTGCGAAAGAAAGTTGCGTCTTCACGACCACGACCACCTTTTCCCTTTGAGAGTGAAATTAGTTGGAGGTTTTGCAAAAATTGAGACCACCACTTTTAACGCCATGTCCGTTGAGTTAATCAACAAGTCCACGACTCCCCCACACCCTTCGACCAACTAACTAACCAAGCTCACCTCACTTTGATCCGTCACGAGGACGGCTTTCACTCGAGATTTGGCATCATATATAGCGAGTGATTGGTCATTACGGCCTAATTCATTAGAATGTGGGAGTGAGTGAGTGAGTGAAAGTCTGGAATGGGTCCATTGATAGGGGAGCGAATCTGGTGAAAATATCTCAAATCCAGGACAAGCTCATTCATCTTGTGGAGGAGTAGAGAAGCAGCATCAATTAGAATTAGGCTTCATTCCTGTCTCCCCGTTGTGGAGGGAACACGCCGTTCCCTTCACATCAAATTAAGTAGAACATGAAGTTGCGGAGGGAAAGGGAGCAGCAGGAGTGAGGCTGTTTGGATAAAAGGATTTGGCTTCATGAGGATGATGCGGTTGTTGCAAACTCTGCTAAATAGAGCACTTGTGTTGCCTTGATAGTTTCCATTCACAGTCCGCGACACTCAACGACCCTTCGCATTAGCGGCGACAGCTTTCGATCTATTGAAAAGTGATTATGGGTCAGACCTACACAGGCTCATTTTCGATGAAAGTGTGGTTGTGAGCAGCTGTCTCTCTCTGCATGCCTGCTACACTCGCCGTGCATGTGGTGACTCGTTGGTGGGTTGGTTAAGGGCAGGAGAAAGTAACTAATAATGATGCTTCCTAAACCCCGCAACTTTCTCGGATGTGATACAACGTTGTGTTGTGGTGGTAATTATATGAGAATGGTGAACAATCTTCTTCCACCCAACAAAAGATGATTACCAACTAACGCCCCAGTATTGGTTGGCTGCATAGATAGAGAAATGTGCTCTGGGTATCACCATCAACTTGTAGGATAAAGTTCACCTATGGTTGTCGAAGAGACACAGCCGGAGGTTTCAGCCAACAGAAGGTTCGTTAATTTTACGAGCGATAATGATATTTCATTACTTCTATTTCATTACTACACCCGCTCCAGTTTAGGCACGTCCCTTGATCTAATTCCTCATTTATTTAGTTCGTCGAAATAATCACTTGATTAGGGACACAAAACAGGTAAACTGATCTAATCAAGGGACATTGACACGAGTTTTTACGACCGGTGCCAAGGTCTCTTCTGCATTAAACAGGAATCTTTTGATGGCTTATTTATCTGGGAGCGGAGGAGGAGGAGGACGAATTCATGCAAAATGGAATAATGCAACACGTTCATTTCATTTTTGCGGCGTCACTCTGCATATTGCCTTCACTCAGATCGACTCTGTTTGTCAGGGAACAATTCATGCATACGCTTTGTGACAAGTGACACGTATGTAAAGCCTTGAGCTCTTTGGTGGGCTCTGTCTCTAAACCTTCCTGCACACGAGGTTCCCACGCACGAGGACTGACTCGATCGACAATGTGAAGCATTTTGTCCCTCGCATAATGTGCAATGGAGCAAAGGTGACAACAAAGGTATTTGAATTGCTGGCTTATTTGCTTTGACACAATGAGCTCACAAAAGGAACGTCGTTTGTTTGGACAAGTGCAAACCAATCTTCCCCTAATTTCTCGATCCCATTGTCCAACATGGTCTGCTCTAATAACACAGAACATCGGACATTCGTTCGTGTAGTCTATTCTTTGCAACTCTCGACTCATTGTAAATAATGTTTGGGGAAAGTTCGACTCCCAATTTTCCACTTGTTTCTACCAATTTGGAGAAAAGTTTTGCTATCACGACTGGAATGTAAACACGGTGAAAGTTAAACATAGAAACTCTATTTGTTTGGGGTTGGGTTAGCGTAAACTTTCTCCACAGATAACACGTCTTTAAACAATGGATTGATACTTGGAGTATCTGGTTGTTTAGAGTAATTTTGAAATAATTGTTGTCATCCGTCCTAAATATAGACAAAACTATGGATTGTAAATAAAAACTCGTCAAAATCAACTGCACACACACCTTTATTCGTTTTTATCAACACGGGAAATAAATTCTTCGTCGACTCAATCCACAAAGTCACTCAGAATTTGGAGAAAGTCGCGTCGCTTGGTTTGTCGCAGAGGGATGAGAAATGGAAAACATGTGCCAGGAAATTGTCCCTTTGTGTCTGGCCACCATTCTTTTGTCCATCGTTGCATCAGATTTACATTTGGACCCAGATTCGGGTTCTCACAAATTCATGGTGGATGGTGGACAACGAAATGCTGATCTGGTTCCAGTTTCAGCTAGATCTTCACTTCACACTTGGTCCCCTCGAGTGAAGATGTGCCGACAACAATTGAAAGTGATGGGTCACACACACCCTTCTTGGCCGTTGGCTATATGCACGTAGCGAGTAGGGCATCATTAAGGGTTGTAGATTCACTTAGGATATGTATTGAGCAATTTGGGGCGGGTTCTTTAGTCGGAATGGTTGCATGTATCCGACTCAGGGAGCGAATTTGGATGAGGACATTTCCAATTTGGCAGCTGTCTGGATCAATGCAATGTTCTCTCATGCATTCGGAAATGAAAGCAAGCTGACAGCAGTCGGAGTCAGTGAGTGAGTTTCGTGATATAATGTGCACTTGTTTTCTACGACTACTCACGCTCCGGCGTCCATTCACTTCACTCAAAACCTAGAGCCACTCCAAATTCTGAAAATTAAATCTTACTTCTTTTTTGCACAATTGGGACGTATGTAGCTTTGCATAATCGAGATATACGCTATGAATATGAATCTACATGTTCCATTAAGGGGACACCTTACACAGTAGATTTGTGTTACTCACAGTGTGAATATAGACGTATGAAAAGCTCAGCCAGAGCTGGACTTTCCATTTCAGACAAAATATACGACAGGTCTCGATACCTATCTATGTGCATATACCAACACATGAACATTATTACATACCAAGACTCTGGAACACATTCATCTATTGATACAAATGTGAATGGGAAAATGCACAACTTCAAAGCTATAAATACCTATTGGTCAAGAACCCGACTTGTTCCTTTTAGTCGCAAATGTCGTACGTACGTGGCCGCATAAAATTTTCTTTGCAAAAATAAGTAAAACTTGTGATGTTGGAATTGAAAGAGGAGTCGGAATACATATTTGCCTCACTTTTTATCAGGAATGAGCAAGTGGATGCAAGGTAAAAGGGAGGAAGGCATCACAGGGAGCAGAAATTCTTCCTCTGTCAACCTTCTTGGTGTTGTCGATAAGGAGCTGAGATGATTTTGCGAGTGGATGAGAGACGTCGAGTCGTCATCCCGATGATGTGATGCTTGAGATATTTCTTGAATGCAATGTCCCATTTATATCTCATTTTGAATTCATTCTTTCCATTTATTTCGGTCCTTCTTGGATTTTGATGTCTTGGTCGCTTTGATCCTTCTCCACGTCAGAAAGCTGCTCCA